CCGACCATGCGATTGGCAAGTCCTAGGCGCTGAGGTTTTACCCACAGCGCCACCCGCGTCCCTCAGGATTAACAGTACTGGGGCTTTAACCTTGCCTCCTGCAGTGCCCCACTGCCCTGATGAAACCCACTACCACCACCAGTGAGAGTTGCAGGTCTCCCAAGCATCACATCTTGTTTGAACCAGAGTAGTTTGCGCAAACTTGATTATCATTAAGAACATGTTCATCAGGAACAGAGGCATGCAGGAACTTCTCTGCCAACTACGCGGCTCACAAAATCCAAAGCTCAGCCTTCCAACCTTTCCCCCTTGCCTTTGTCAACATGCAAGGAGGCTCCTAATCTGCTTCTTATCTGGTACTTGAGAGCCAGCCAAGGAAGGAAATTAGACTGTGGTCAATCTTCTGTATGAATACAATCATTTGGAAGTTCCTTCATAATGCACTCCCTTCCATTTCCATCCATTAATACAATGAGAAATGATGGAATGTGCAGAAAGAGATTGTGTATTATTGATATTCATAACCAGAGCCAACTTGCCTTCAGGATTTAACTGCTCTGTTGGGTTAACACAACTCTCAGAAAAAGGAAAGAAACATCAGCTGGGATGGCAGAGTTGGAGGTCAAACCATTTCCTGCATTTGAACTGCAGAAAGAAAGAACGAAAAAGAAAGCCAAAGCGATTCAAGGAGGTCGTTTTCCATATTCTCCAAAAGTTGGTTTAAAATGCATAACTTGTCGTGTTCACATCATGTGCAACTGCAGCTACATGGATGCAAGCAGTATTCCATGTGCAGCTATGCGTATCTTTGGCATCAGGGTAAAGGAAAAACACTGGGAAGGCAGTGTGGTGCAATGGTTAGAGAGTCAGCCTAGGGCCTGGGAGACCAGGGTTCAAATCTCCACTCAGTCAGGAAATTCACCAACCTTGGGACAGTCAACCCACTTCACAGGATTGTTATGGGGATTAATAATAATAATAATAATAATAATTTATACCCCGCCCTCCCCAGCCAAGGCCGGGCTCAGAGCGGCTTACAAGCAATAATAAAAACAAGTTGAATGATTACAACTTAAAAACAAAATTAAAATACAACATTAAAATATTGAAACATTAAAATATTAAAATGTAGCCTCATCGCAGGAGGAGAAGGAAAAGAAAAAAGAAAGAGAGGGAATCAAATTCACTCCAACCCAAAGGCCAGGCGGAACAACTCTGTCTTACAGGCCCTGCGGAAAGAAATCGGATCCTGCAGGGCCCTGGTCTCATGAGGCAGAGCGTTCCACCCGGCCGGAGCCAGAGTTGAAAAGGCCCTGGCTCTGGTTGAAGCCAATCTAACTTCCTTAGGGCCCGGGACCACTAGGGTGTTGCTACTTATGGACCTTGAGGCTCTCCGTGGGGCATACCGGGAGAGGCAGTCCCGTAGGTACGAGGGTCCTAGGCTGTGAAGGGCTTTAAAGGTCAAAAGCAGCACCTTAAATCTGACCCTGTACTCCACCGTGAGCCAGTGCAGTTTGAAAAGCACTGGGTGAATATGCTCCCATGGCAGAGACCCCGTGAGGAGCCTCGCTGCAGCATTCTGCACCCTCTGGAGTTTCTGGGTCAGCTTCAAGGGCAGCCCCACGTAGAGCAAATTACAGTAGTCAAGCCTGGAGATGACCGTCGCATGGATCACTGTGGTCAGGACGGGGCGGGAAAGGTAAGGGACCTTTTAAACAAAAAAGGGAAGAAGCTCTTTGGGGAAAAAAGGTGTAGTATAAATACAATGAAAATAATAAATAATAATAATTTCACTTAAGTAAGAAGTGGCTAAAATACAGAATCAAACCCAGTTAAAATACAAGGAGGAGTGCAGAAGCTTCAAAAAGGTAGTGTATACAGAATTTCTCTTTATGTTTATGGAAGCGGAAGCAAGATATTTACTCCTCACCATCTCTCCCGCTCTCTAGGCCCTTTGATATACAACGGAGGTTAAAGAGAAATGCAGGCTTTAAAGTGCACTCAAAGCAGGCTTTTAAGTCCGCTCTAAAATAAATATTAATAATATTAAAATAAATACCGAGATGATACACAAAGCAGTGACAGAACGCAGCTTTGCAGGGAGTGTTTAAACAATGTGCCCTCCCTTTCAAATACTTCTTCGGGCTCTTGCCGTTTTTTTCAAGTATTTAACAATCGATTTGCATGCTTATGAAATAAACAATAACTTTCGGTCAGTGCAAATATCAACACTCGGAGAATGGAAAGCAAACTGTAAAGATAGTTTTGTTCCTGGGATTTCCCTTCTTCTCCCCAGCACAGAGAATTGATTCTGGTTCCTGGTAAGGCAGAATCACACAATTGTGGAGCTGGAAGGAAATGCCAAAGGTCATCTAGTCCAGCCCACCTGCAATGCATGAATCACAGCTAAAGAATCCCTGACAGATGACTATCCAACCTCTGTGTAAAAACATCCCACCTTAAAGGTACTGGAGCAGATGCTGCTGTCTGCAGTATCTGGAGAAATTAGGGTTTTTTTAAAAAAAGAAGCACAACAACCCTGCAATATCGCCTGAGTGGTGGATGCTCTGGCTATCTCCCGCTTGGACTATTGCAATGTTCTCTATGTGGGGCTACCTTTGAAGGTGACTTGGAAACTACAACTAATCCAGAATGCGGCAGCCAGAATGCCTAACTGTTGCTACTAGACGCAGTCAATGAGCAAGAAATGGCGGCTACTCCTCCCACCACTGGGGAGCTGATATTTGCCTGCACATCCATCTGGGCCAGAGGAAGAGGCAGGTGAAGAAGCAGGTGACAATGGTAAAGAGGGGACTTCCGGGGAGGTGCCGCCGGTAATGGCGGAATTCCTCTGACCGGGAGGAATCTGCTCCGTGGGAATCTGGGTCTGGCCGCCACGGCGAAGGCGGAGACCCGTTAAAATCACAGGCGGGAGAAGCCTGTGAGCGTGGGATTCGGCGGGCACCTTTTGCGCCTCCCCCACTCGCGGGGAACCCCGGTTTTTGGGGCTCCGGAGCGACGTGGGGTGAGCGGCGCGGTGCATCGAATCGTCTGCTTCTTCCACGGAGCGAAGCCGCATAGCTGTTGCCGGAGAGCGCTGACCTTTTCCTGTGGACAATTTGACTTTAAAGTAATTACCCGTGAGTAGAGCTGAAACGGAAGAATTGGATTTCTAAATGTTTAATTTGGTACCGTAACGGGGAGGTTCAAAACAGGAAGTCCGCCTTCCCCTTTTGTAAATAGACTGAGGCAATGAAGTTGCAAGCTGGAGTCCTGGAAAGTCTTTTGTAAAAGATTAAATTTCCATCAGTAAAGAACATTGAACCCCCTCTTGGAGGCAGGAGAAGAGAGGGGGAAGTTGTGGATTGAATATGCCTGTGGGAGAGAGTGAAGAGATTTAAAACACCGCCGCTCTGACCCTGGAAACGGGCTGCTAGCAGGACTGACGTCTTTTGGAATGTTCATTGACAGCGTTTAGAACGTTCATTGACAGCTACTTAAACAAGAAAAATACATTGTTTCTACTGTCTCCGGCTGCTTTAAAAAGGAGTAAAAGTAACTGAAAATTGAAACTAATTTGAAACTAATTTTGGATTGTTGAAAAGAGGATACTATTGACTATTACAAATAGAAACTGTTTTCCCCTAGTGGAAGTCTTTGAAACCGGTTGTTTTACAAGAGCTGGGCTAGGGGAATTTCCAGCTGCAAGTTAAAAACCGTGAGACTCTGGGACTGACCTTGAATCTTTTAAGTGTTATGGTAAATGGAAGAGGAAAAACAGACCAGTCAACTGCTGACAAAACATTAAGGTCTGGGAGGACTTGGCAACAATCCAGAAGAGGTCCATCATCAGGCCCTCCTGCTCCTTCTGTTGCTGCCTTTGTACCAGTATATTTAAAACCAAGAGGAATGTCGACAGAAGAGGCTTTAGTGGCTGCATTATATAAGATAAATGACTCATTGGATCAGCTTCACAGGAAAATGGACACGATAAATGCGAAAGTGGATGTTTCAATCACTAAAATTAACCTAAATACAGAAAGTATAAATAATACCAATACAGAAACCACCCAGAAATTGATACAGGAACCTACTTTGATACGGCAAACTGCGGAGGAAGCCAGGGAAAAAGCTGTTGTTGCTGAATGTAAAGTAACACAACTGGAGAGAAAGAGAAAGAGAGCCCCAGCCCTACAGAGGCAATTTGATGAACATAAGTTGACGCTTGCTATGACTGAACTTAAAGAAAAACAGAAGAATTTGAAGATTAGAGTTCACCTTTGGTGGACATGCCCAAGGATTAAGACACTTTGGGAGATGATTCATAACGAAATGAAAAAGGTATTTAAATATACCCTTTTGAAGAAACCAGAGGCCTTTCTCCTGGGCATGGTCGGCCAATTGGTGTTAAAGAAGGATAGAACTTTTTCACGTATGCAACAATAGCAGCAAGAATACTCATTGTGAAGTACTGGAAGACACAAGATTTATCTATTCGGGAAGAATGGCAGATGAAGTTGATGGACTATATGGAATTGGCGGAAACGACTGGCAGAAATCCGAGACCAGGGAGAAGAGTCGGTGGAAGAAGACTGGAAAAAGTTTAAGACTATTTATAGAAATACTGTAAAAATAATGAATGTAAGAAAAATGTTGGAATGAAGTTATATGGCTCTAGTAGAAATGCTATAAGGAATTAAGTATAAATAGATTAATAGAGTATTAAAGGGAAAAATAAGGTTAGAATATGTTAAGATAATTATAGGATAGAAAACAGAGGAAGATGGAAAGGAATTGCTGAAACAATTAACAGAAGTGGAATACAAAAAGGGAGGTGTGAGGAGGTCGTGGAAATAAGGGAATGAAAGATAAGATATTGAAATTGTTTTGTGTTTTAAATGGTTTGTGTCTTATTTTGTTATGCTTTTTTGTTTTTTCTGTTTTGTTGTGTTTAAACGGTTGAAAATTAATAAATATTATTATTATTATTTTTAAAAAATGACAATGGTAAAGAGGAAGAGCAGGTCCAGGGGTCTCTCATCATCGGATTCCCTGCTGGGATGTGGGTCTTCAGCAGCTGCCCTACTTTGCCATGCATTGGCATCCAACCTGCTCAAGCCATTTAGGGCTCGCTCTGCAACACACCAATTGCGCAACGCCGTGCATATTTATTTGGAACGAAGCCCCGCTGTGTTCACTCAGGCTTACTATAAGGCAATTGCACGGCTCAAAACAGGTTTGCGAACAGGTTCTCCTCTTGTTCAGTAAGAGCCATTGCCAAGAAACCAGACGTGGAAGGTTTTAGAAAACAAGCTATTATTTTCTTTTAAGGCTTCAAGATGCCATCAAGATGCCATCGGATGCAGGCAGATTAGGAATTTTGGAGGTCTCATCTGCCAGACTGCAGGAAAAGCAGAACACCCAGGGAGGCTGTGGAGTTCAGTTATTCAGACATTTGCTGCTGGGGAAATGGAAATATCAGTCAAATGCTTCCAAACTCCTGCACCACAAATGTCTGGACACATGGAGGTCCCTCCCTGCAAAAGATTAAAATGACTGTTTCTAAAAGTGAGTAGATTGTTCCTGCCTGAAATAAATGTAGTTTTGTTCCTGGAGTACACACACCCAAACACCACCGAAGAATAGTACAGAGAGTGACTTGATAAATGCTTGGAGATCACTTCATTGTTTGCTTTATTTATACAGCTTTCCTCTCCCTCTGAAGATGGTGTGCCTCTGTTTACTTTAGAAGATTAGAAAGGGATTAATGAAGCCAAATCTCTTAACAAAATGGCCATCTCCGCTGAAGGCTGCAAATTACTTATGATTCATGCTGGCTTCCTCTCCACTTCCTTGTCCACAACGAAACCAAGGCAATCCCAATTTCAGGCACAAAAAGAGATCGGTCCTTACCTGTATTTAAGGACAGGGCGGAAAAAGACTCTGCCCTGGCAGACACCACATAACCCCATGTAAACAAAACAACTGGTTGGGGAAACAGAGTGAAGGCCAGGCCGTGTCACAGGAAACAGGTCAACAGCAGGCCAACGATCTCTCATTTTGAAAAAATGAGCTTGAGAGGGATGCACTACAGTACAATCCAGAGTCTCTGGCTATGAACCTATTTTATTTTAATTGTACATCTTCTGCCCCAGCTGCAACAAAACATATCTCTCCCACATCGGTGTCTACGGCCTCGGCAGGCACTGCAACCTTCCAACAGTTAATAATAATAACAATAACAATAATAATTTATTATTTAAACCCCACCCATCTGGCTGGGTTTCCCCAGCCCCTCTGGGCGGCTTCCAACGGAATATTAAAATACAATAGTCTATTAAACATTAAAAGCTTCCCTAAACAGGGCTGCCTTCAGATGTCTTCTAAAAGTCTAGTAGTTGTTTTTCTCTTTGACATCTGGTGGGAGGGCATTCCACAGGGCGGGCGCCACTACCAAGAAGGCCCTCTGCCTGGTTCCCTGTAACTTGGCTTCTCGCAGCAAGGGAACCTGGGGGAAGCCTGCTTGTTCCCTCATGCCCACCCCCGGGGAGCCCGTCCCTCCATGCCAGCATGCCATTGGGCGATTCAGCAGGCTGACGCGGAGCAGGAATACAAGCCAGGAGCGTGAGCTGAAGCTCACATTCTGGATGGGATCAGCTCCCCACAACCAGCCCCGCACCATCATTGGGGGGGGGGGAGAGGCTCTGGCCGTCCCAGAAAGCCACCGCACCCCTAAAAGGGGGTAAGCGGACTTGGACAAGAACACTCTCCCCTCCTCCAGCTTCCAGATGTACTCAGAATTATTATTGCCTCCAATCATGGAAGCAGAACATAGCCATCACAGACCCTTCAAGTTTTCCTGTTTCCCAGGGACAGTCCCAGATTTACAGAAGCCGTCCCAGTTTCTGATTTGATCCTGGAATGCCCCGCTTTTCCTTAGGACGTCCCTGTTTTCATTGGAGAAACGTTTGAGGGTACAGAAACAAGATTTCAAACAATGCTCTCGTTATCAGGGCTGGATATCAAAAACAAGAGATTTAAAACGAGAGAGAGAGAAAGAGAAGAGAGAGAGAGATGGTGTTATCCAGATGGGCTTGTGTTTAACTGAGCTCAAGTGAAAGGCTTTTAAAACCAAGGACTATGAAGGTTTAAAAACAGGGGCACTGTAATTAGTTTAATCCACAGAATTAGAGGCTGGGTGGCCATCTGTCATGTATGAGCTACTTGAGATTCTTGCTTTGGGGGCGGGGTTAGACTAGATGACCCCCAAGTTCCCTTCTAACTGCGATTGTATGAGCATGGTAGTAAAAGCAGAAAGTAAAAATTCTGTGAAATTTAAGAGGGGGACTTCTACCAGGAGATGCAGAGAAAGTCTGCTGCAATTCTAGACGTCTTCCAGCAATAGATGGAGGAGGAGGGGCCCATGACACTTTTTATTATCATTTTGTCCAGCTCTAAGACAATTTCCTCTCGACTAATGCAACCCCAGAAACTGCTTTCAAACACCAATTCTCTTGCAGCTATCAATCCTCCTTACAAAAAAGGATCTTCTGGTTTCCACTAACACCTTCCCCAGACATAATTAATCCCCGTGCTACAGGGATATATATATACATTTTCATGTAGCTGTGTGTGGCCTTGTTCACCCCAATAACAGACGAGGTAGTAAACCTGTCCGTGGGCTCTGTCCCATCAGACTGTGGGCGATGAACTATTTCATTGCTCCTCTGTACAAAATAAAATTAACACACACTCCTGCATACCTAAAACCTAGCTGTCACAGGAGGCTGTGATGGGCCTTAAAAGGGAAGCCTTAAGAGAGGATTAGGCAAATTCATGGAGGAGAACCCTGACAGTGGCTACTTGCCATGATGGCTATGCTCTGCCTACACAGTTGGAGACACCAATGCTTCTGAATGCCAGATGCTGGAAACCACAGGAGAGGAGATGATGATGATGATGATAATAATAATAATAATAATAATAATAATAATAAATACCCCACCCATCTGGTTGGGTTTCCTCAGCCACTCTGGGTGGCTCCCAACAGAATATTAAAAACATGATAAAACATCAAACATTTAAAACTTCCCTAAACAGGGCTGCCTTCAGATGTCTTCTAAACGCCACATAGTTGTTTATCTTTTTGACATCTGATGGGGGGGGGCATTCCACAGGGAGGGCGCCACTACCGAGAAGGCCCTCTGCCTGGTTCCCTGCAACCTCACTTCTCTCAGTGAGGGATCCGCCAGAAGGCCCTCGGTGCTGGACCTCAGTGAATGATGGGGGTGGAGTCGCTCCTTTAGGTATACTCGGCCGAGGCCGTTTAGGGCTTTAAAGGTCAGCACCAACACTTTGAATTGTGCTCGGAAACGTACTGGGAGCCAATGTAGGTCTTTCAGGATCAGTGTTATGTGGTCTCAGTGGTCACTCCCGGTCACCAGTCTAGCTGCCGCATGCTGGAGAGGGCTCTTGTGGATCTGGGTGGCCGCTGTGGGAACAGGATGCTAGACTAGTTGAGTCATTGGCCTGATCCAGCAGGCTCTTCTTATCTTCTTATATCTTTCCCAGACAGTCTAATGCACAGGATTCCTAAGAACAGATCGGCTCAAATAATTACAGTAGCCTCCACAAACATCAGAAGTCACCTTGCAGTTTCCCCGGCATCCATGTCTGCTTGATTAACACACAGTCCTTCATTAATGTTCTTCCCAGCATGACTTTCACATTTCCCCCCCTTTTTGCTAGGGCATTCATTCCCTAATAAAGTACCCTTGGCAGATTGTTAGGTGAGACTCCGAAATGTACTTAATTACAGCTGCTCTGTGAAGCGTTGCACTTTCGATGGGCTTCTAAAGGCTGATTATAAAGAGGAGAGGCAGCGGAGGAGGACAGAGTCTTTTAGAAAACCAGAAGAAAACAAGAGCCCATTAACTGGCTGAACTGCAGGACTCTCGGCCCCTCAGATTTCCAGCTTTCAGCTGCTTTTGAAGAAATTGTCACTACCCACAAGGATGCATTTGTTTCCCGCATCTCATGCCTGGGTTTGCAGCCAGGTTAAAATGTAACTAGGAAAGGAGGGCCACACGTATATTTATACCCACAGCCAGGGTGCATAAAAATCAATGATTTTTTTTAAAAAAATCAGGGTGTTTTTTTAATTTAAATCAGATTTTTTGATGATGGTAATGATGATGATGATGTTGATAATAAACAACTTTTATTTATATCCCAACCTCCCCAGTCAAAGCTGCGCTCAGAGCAGCTAATTTAACCTGTTTTTTTTTATTTAAATCGGATTTTTAAAATAAAATGCTTTTATCGGTAGTGGCGCCCTCCCTGTGGAACGCCCTCCCATCAGATGTCAAAAAGAACAACAACTACCAGACTTTTAGAAGACATCTGAAGGCAGCCCTGTTTAGGGAATCTTTTAATGTTTGATGTATTACAGTATTTTAATATTTTTCTGTAAGCCGCCCAGAGTGGCTGGGGAAGCCCAGCCAGATGGGCGGGGTATAAATAAATTATTATTATTATTATTATTATTATTATTATTGAAAAATCTTTCTAAAGATAGTTTTCTATTTAAGTTACATTATAGTCCAAAGGCTATTCATCAGGAAATAAGGATTTGTTTTCAGTTTTTCATGTGTGCTAAAACTCAGTCTAAGGTGTTTTATAAAAAAATGTTTAACCAGATCAGTTAACAAACATGGATACATATTGTATAACACTATTGTTTTAGTTAAATAAATTGTTTAAATTGTTATTAAGGAAATTATTATTTTTCTCCTTCCAATAAAGTACAACAGAAAAGTTGTCCAAATATAAACAGTTAACTTATTAAACCTCACAATAATTTCATAATTATCTGTCTATGTATTTCCAATAGTATAACCAAATCGCTTTCACTCTCTCAGCCTAGCCTACCTCACAGGGTTGTTCTGGGGATAAAAATGGGGAGGAAGAGAACCACATATGCCACCTCAAGCTTCTTTGGAGAAAGGCAAGATATAAATGTAATAATAAATAATAAATACTAATACATTACTTTGCATATTTTTCTTTTAAAGGCATTGACCAAGAGAGCTGGGGAAGATGTGTAAAGGAAGCCCTTGTTCCCCAAGAGCGAGTTAGAAGGGTGTTAAGCAACCATTTTCTTCATACCACCAAGTGTCACAAAGGGCACTTCCAGACAGTCTCTATTTCCGGGCGGAATTTAATCTTGCACCAGCAAATTCAGGCGGTGTAATTAAAGCTGCTACGAAGCTCTTCCCTAACAAACCTGCTCTTCCCCCACGAATCAGATCGTTTCTGCAGAAAGTAAGGAGAACACCCTGGGAGAAGGTTGTGAGTGGTTTTGCCACCATTTAAGATTTGATTATTCGAAACAGCGGCTTTCTGGTGCGCTGCAAAGATCAACGTGATTCAGACTCGCATATGACCTTAATTACTGCCAGGGCAACCGCCCCCCGCTTGAAAAAAAAGTTTGCAGAGGAACCTTATAGATTTCCACGATGCCTCCTGTTAACTCTCGAGTGAGAGTTTTGGACCAGTTCCATTTATGATTCATGATGCTCCTTGTGGCCATCTTCAATACACATCATTCTAAGCTTTTCCCCCAGGAGCTTATAGAATTTCCCTTTCAGCCTTGGCTCCAACTGTGTCCACAGCAAACCTCCTGCTTCTCTCTGAACGCGTTCAACTCATTGACAACGTTCTCCTCCCCCAATTCCATCCTCTCTTAGTTACGAAAGGATTCTCCACTCCGGGTCCCGCCCTCCCCAAGAGCCTCTCTAAAACATACAAATTTTATTCCTCCCCAAATGTGAAATCTAAGAAGCCATTAGTAGATGTTTAGAGGCCTGCTGACACTATCCGTTATCCTAGATAACAATCCCTGAACTCATTTCAACCTCTCTCTCTTTTTGTTTAATATATTTGAAGGGGGGGTCAATCAAAGGTTGAAGAAGAAGAAATAAACTTTGGAACAATCAGCCTCTCTTCGCCTCACCTCTAAGGCTGGATTCTTCTTTTTCTTCTTCTTCTTTACACATTGAGTGGAGAAGATTCTGCACTGTGGTGGTTATAATTGCTAAGGCAACAGCAAGAGGAGCAGTGGCAGCTGGGTGTCTGTTTGCATGGAGAGTGCTGAATGTACAGCCTCACATCGCTTTCATCAAACTTAGCCTCTCAGCAATGAATACCATGTGAAGAGAGCCTAAGAGACCTGATCTTGCTGGGAATAGCTTTGGCTTTGCTTTCTGGAGTCAGGTCCAACCAGTGCAACATTAGCGACCGACTGATTTTTGGAGGGTGAAACCTTAAGAACATCAGAGGAACTTGATTGGATCAGGCCAAAGGCCCATCTAGTCCAACATTCAAGAAGAAGAAGAAGAAGAAGAAGAAGAAGAAGAAGAAGAAGAAGAAGAAGAAGGAGGAGGAGGAGGAGGAGGAGAAGAAGAAGAAGAAGAAGAAGAAGAAGAAGAAGAAGAAGAAGAAGTAGTATTCATGATTGACAAGAAAAGGAAGGCCTTTCAGATCTGGCAAAGAGACAGAAACTGTGCCGCTAAGAAAAAAAACCTATGCCAGTGCTAAGGCTGAGGTTCAAAGAAGAACCAGAGAACTAAAAAACACCGGGTGGATAAAAAAAGCTCAAGAGATCCAGCACTTAGCCAACACTCATGATGCACAGAGTTTCTTTAAAGCCACAAAGACCATCTATGGGCCATTAAATCATGGTGTGTGCCCCCTACGCCCAGCAGACGGTACCACACTTCTAAAAAGATAAAGAAGCTATTGCACTGTGCTGGAAAGAACATGACCAATGTCTCCTATACCTGCAGGTCTCAGGGTGGTTACAACACAAAATTACAATATAAGAACACAAAATACATAATGAAACAAAAATAACCCAATAGCCCCCCCTTCCCCAACACATTTTAAAACGGCATTGGATGTCCGTGACTATGTAAAACTATGTAAAAACAAAAGAATGAGTTAATTACGGCAATGGCAGGGAGACTGGCAAAGTGGAAAGTTATATAGGCTGTTCCTTCAAGTTCCATCTTGCTACCTCCTTCTGCGCAGTGGGAGCAAGACAGGAAGAGGAGAGTCACACTCCTCCCACCCAGAGAAAAATGTTAAATCTTACAGTAGCTAATTGGGAGATGTTTAAGTGCAATTACATCTTAACTCTGTTTCACAAAATATAAATTAAACGGAGAAATATATGCAGATAGATTCATTGTGAATGCTTGAGCGAACACTTTGCTCAGAACCTTTTTCTGACATGCCCTACGCTTTATGTATATAAATGTGGGTTATTAAAGTCGCAAAAAAAAATTTAAAAGGACATCACACATTTGGGACACGTGTACAGTTCTGATGACCTCCTTTTCTAACATATCGTGAGATGGAAAATTTTATTCCCAATGGTCTGGGCCATGCTCCAGATGTAACTGAGGGCAAAGCTATGCAGGTAGGGGTCTGGCTTTCACCGGCAACATCTGTTTTATTTGGGATAAAATGCACAGACCCGGCAGGTGCATCTGAGAAAGGGCGAAACTTGACCTTCATCCCAGGCACTGGTACCTTCAGCATCTGGACCACAAAGCAACAGTGTCCTCAAGTTGGCCTTTTTGTCCCCTCATCTATATGAATGACCTCCAATGGGATAAACCAGGAGAAACAGATAGCTGCATTTAGAGGCAAAGATTCCTGGCCATGGGTGCTCCAAATGGAATTCCACAAGAAGGTGCAAAGTGGAGCGGGGTCCAATTTTCCACATGCATCACCCATCTAAATGATGCACATTTCCCAATGATATACCAAAAGTGGTGCATAAACCCTAAGTTATTGTT